TACTTCTCTCAATTTTCCTGAAAATGCACCCCAGTTTCTGGTGGCCCCTGCTTAGGGGTGCAGGGTATAGGAGTACAACCTCTCTCCAGCGCTGCCTGTGTAATCCCCTGCCTGAAGGCCAAACCCTGCTACTGCAGCTCGGATGGGCGCGAATGAACAGAACCCTTCCCATCAAGCCCTGCAGGCAGCCTAGAAGCTGGGGGGCTGTGTTTGAGGGGACCTCCACTGTGGGGAAGCCTGAGGGGTTAGGGGAAGGTTTCTGACATGCAGCTGGGGCGGTGGGAGGGCACCCAGCTGGCCACTGCTCGTCACACACGTCTGGCAGCCTGCGTCCACAGCAGTCTTCAGTCCTCGACAGGGAGCCTTGGCTCAGTCCTGTCTGCAGGAGCTTCTGGGGCGGGAGGGGGGGCCCCCACCCCCCAGCCCTGTCTGGGGCTCCCTCAGCCTCTGCACCACGCTCCAGGTGCTAAGATATAATACGCCGGCACAATAAACCTTTATTCTGGCCTGAGTCGCACTGGTTTTCTAAGGGGAAATGAATGGCCAGGGTAGGGGCCAACCCCAGGGTGGAGACGGCTCTCTGGGAGAGAGACACGAGAGCCACGGCCAAGCCCGCAGATCCATGTGGGAAAGGGAGGGGAAGCGCGTGCTCCATAGGAATGGGGGTGGCCGAGTGCCAGCTCCGGTCTCTGGCTCCACAGACTGAGTCCCACACTCTGCTCTGCCACTGACCGCAGCCGTGGGACAGTCCCCCGGAAACCCGGGCTGTGGAGGGGCTTCCAGCCGTCCCCTGTAGGGTGACTGAACCCTGGAAGGGTCTCCTGGGCAGTGCCCTGCTCCTCGCACCCTTGGCTGGGACTTGGGGTTGGAGATAGTCCTATCCCTCCAGCTGGTCTCCGCCAGTCCTCCACGGCCACCAGGCTCCTCGGATGACAAGTTCCTGCAGGAACCTTCTCCTCTGCCCTGGGCCTGGGCTGCCAGCTGGAATCCAGATGTGGCCAGGGCTGTTGGGAACATGTGCTGACCCCCTGGGGTGGTGGGGCCAGGGAGGTGTCCCCTGCAGTCCTTCGCCTCCTCTGACCCCGCATCCATCCATCATCCGCCCATCCGGAGGGGGCTGGGGTTCAGGTTTCATAACACACAATGGGCTCTGTCTTGCCCCGTGGGGAAGGGCCCTTCCTTTGTCCTCCCAGCCCCGCTCCTGCCAGGACAGTCTCCTGTGAATGCGCCTGTGCTGGGTGGCTCTGGCCAAGTTGCTCGTCCTCTCTGAGTGTCACAGGCTCGCTCCTTGCTCCCGTGCTCCTCTGGGTCTTAGGCATGCTGGGAAATGCCCTCAGCTTCCCCATGCCACACCGCAATCCGGTAAGGCGGAAGCAGGCAGGGGTGAGCCCCCAGGCAGCAGCTCCCTGCTCAGCAGCCCCCAGTGAAGGCTCCCTTGGGCCCTTGTGGGGTGTGAATTAGGCAGGTCACCCAGGCGGCAGTGCCGGAGTGAACCTCTCCCTCATCCTCCCTCATTTCTTTTTAAAAGCTTTATTTAGTTTTTGTTTGCTATTATTTATCTTTTAATTTGAGTAGCAGGAGGCAGAGAGAGAAAGTGAGAAAGTGAGCTGCCAGGTCCGGGACTTGAACCATGATAAGGACAGTCTCCTGTGAATGCGCCTGTGCTGGGTGGCTCTGGCCAAGTTGCTCGTCCTCTCTGAGTGTCACAGGCTCGCTCCTTGCTCCCGTGCTCCTCTGGGTCTTAGGCATGCTGGGAAATGCCCTCAGCTTCCCCATGCCACACCGCAATCCGGTAAGGCGGAAGCAGGCAGGGGTGAGCCCCCAGGCAGCAGCTCCCTGCTCAGCAGCCCCCAGTGAAGGCTCCCTTGGGCCCTTGTGGGGTGTGAATTAGGCAGGTCACCCAGGCGGCAGTGCCGGAGTGAACCTCTCCCTCATCCTCCCTCATTTCTTTTTAAAAGCTTTATTTAGTTTTTGTTTGCTATTATTTATCTTTTAATTTGAGTAGCAGGAGGCAGAGAGAGAAAGTGAGAAAGTGAGCTGCCAGGTCCGGGACTTGAACCATGATAAGCCATGTGGGAATCCAGAACCCTTAACCACCTTGCCACCAGAAGGCTCCTCTCTCTGAGCTTTTAAAGCTGCTGTTCTTTCAGTCTATGACACCCTCCCAACCTCCCAACCAATCCCCCCTCACCCATTAGCTTCTGGCCTAGGTGTCCCCTCTTCCAGGAAGCCTTCCCTGATAGCCCCTGCCCCAACCTTCCACATCCCTAGACTCAAGGTTCCTAATAGCTTAGTCAATGGCCCCTGTCTCGTGATAGGCCTTGTGCTCAGCGCTCGGCATTATTAATTCAGTGAGACTCACAACCCTGCAAGGCGGGCACTGTTGCTATTCCCTCGTTACAGAGGAGGAAATTGAGACCCAGAGAGGTGAAGACAGTTGCCCAGGATACTCAGCTGGGATTCCAGTCCAGTGGCCTGACCATGTCCAAGTTCTCCGCTGGACTCGACTGCTTTGAGGAATGAATGAATGAGTACATGAAGCCCCTGGGGAGAGGCCAGCCGGGCTCCTCTCCCACCTAGAAACCCTCTGAGCTACTCGCACATCTGCAATGAGCTTCTCCAGAAAGAGCATTTCATGGGCACACGTCTGGCCATGGAGGGAGACAATGGTGGGGGTGTGCGTGGCCGGGGGCTGGGCTGGGGGAGAGGGTTGCACTGTTCCCAGGGGCGCAGGAGCCGGCCAGGCCTGAACAGGCCCCCACTGTCCCAGGGCTTGTAAAACTCTGCACAGCTGCTTCCAGCCGGGACGGAGTCTCCGGGCCAGGCCTGCCTTGGTCGTAATGGGGAGGGGGGAGGGGGAGCCAGACCACCTCAGCTCCATGTAGGGTGGGGGTTTCTGGTCCCCCGCGGTTGGAGAGGGTGCCCAAGAGCCACAGGTGGGAAGCAGAGCTCTTCCCCACCCTGCCCTGCTCTGTCAGCTGGGTGCTGGCCGGAGTCTCATCCAGGGGGAGTGCAGGACGGGACAGACGCACACCCAGGCTGGGCCCGTCATCCTGAATCCCCTCTTGGTGTGTAGGGTGGTTTGGACCCTGCGGTGAGACTGTCTGGGTTCAGGTCTAGCGCCACCCTCTCTGAGCTGTGTGGCCTTGGGCAAATCGCCTCATCTTCTGGGCCTCCAGAGGGTCCGTGTGGCAGCGGGTCCACTGTGCATGTGGGGGTGTAAATACTGAGTCTGGGGTTCCCCGTCAGCCCAGTTACATCAGTCTCAGCACGTGCCGGTGCAGTCATTGTTGCCACAAGGAGACGGCCAGGGTCTGCCCACCTTGCCACTGCTTGGCACCTGCCTGGTGCTGCCACTGCCAGGTGTCCCGGTGTGTGTGTGCAAAGGCGTGTAAGGCTGAAAGGAGGCATCTGTGCGGCACGTCTGTAACCACATCAGCCTTCGCCGTGCTCCCCCAGAGAGAGGACAGCTCAAGCCAGTACACTAACAACTCAGCCCTTCCGCATGGGCCTCTCAGGACCAGCAAGGCCTGGGGCCGTGCAGAGCAGAGCAGAGCAGTCCCCGGGGCAGTTTTGCGCCCTGTCCAGCTCTGTGCCGCCTGGTCCCAGCTTTTCGTCTGCTTTGAGGAAAGACTGGGGCCTGTCTGGAGTGGGATGGGGGTTTGCCTTTTTTTTTTTTTTTTAGGAGGTTCGGATTTCAGGATTCCTCTGGCTGCTCAGAAATAGCAGGAGGGATTTGGCGCTGGCTCCAGGACCCAGGAGGTTCCCTGCAGCTGCTCCCCCTCCCCTGGGGGGTCCGAGGTTTGTGGCGGCAGCTGCAAGTGAAAATAGCTCTCTGCTCGTAAATCCACTCTTGCCGCGAAGGGACACTGATGCCAGAGGCCCCTGTGATGTCCACCACCCACAAGGGCCCTGCAAGGGACACCTGGGGGTGCTTGGGGAGCCTGGGGGGGTCCAGAGTGGGGGGTAGCCACTTGTGACTTCTCCTTTTAGGGCTTGGGGAGCCAAATTCAACTGGAGGGGCTGGAGGGTGACGAGGAAGAGCAGGGTTGTACAGGAGGCTAGGATGGGCTAGCACAGGGCAGGGGTGGCAGTGGGACATGGGCCACAGTCCTTGCCCAGTCTCCCCCAGCCCCCCAAGGCTATAAGAAGGTCAGTAACTGCGAATGCATGTTGCACATGTGCTGGGCGGTGTGGCCTGGTGGTGAGGGGTACAGGTTTCAGACGACCTGGGTTAGAGTCCAAATTTTACCACCTCCCGGCTGTGTGACCTTGGGCAAGGCACTTAACCTCTCTGGGCCCGAGTTCCCTTGTGTGTGAAGTGGGAATAATGGTGCTGTCTACCTAGGCAGGGTGGTAAGAGAACAGGTCTCGTGTGGGTGCTCAGGGAAGGCGGGGCCGTGAGCTGTAAACCGTGAAGTGCAGCGTCTGCAGGAAACGGGAGCTGTCTCTAAATGCCCAGCCGTTCCGGAGTTACCTCTTCTTCCCAGCTTAGTCCAGAGGCTGCAGAACCGTAAGATCAAGTCATTTTTAGGTACTTGGAAATGTATTCGTTTCTTTCCCCATGATAGAGGCTTGTGCGCATGCACTAGAGAGACAGAGAGACACGCACACTGTCTCGCCACACTGGGATCCCCCTTCTCTGGCCCTTCAGCTTCTCAGGACCTTGGGCTCTAATGCCTGTG